CTAACTACTACTAACTACTACTAACTACTACTACTACTACTACTACTACTACTACTAACTTCTACTAACTACTACTACCTACTACTACCTACTACTACCTACTACTACCTACTACTACCTACTACTACCTACTACTACCTACTACTACCTACTACTACCTACTACTACCTACTACTACCTACTACTACCTACTACTACCTACTAATACCTACTACTACCTACTACTACCTACTACTACCTACTACTACCTACTACTACCTACTACTACCTACTACTACCTACTACTACCTACTACTACCTACTACTACCTACTACTACCTACTACTACCTACTACTACCTGCTACTACCTGCTACTACCTGCTACTACCTGCTACTACCTGCTACTACCTGCTACTACCTGCTACTACCTGCTACTACCTGCTACTACCTGCTACTACCTGCTACTACCTGCTACTACCTGCTACTACCGACTACTACCGACTACTACCGACTACTACCGACTACTACCGACTACTACCGACTACTACCGACTACTACCGACGACTACCGACGACTACTACCGACGACTACTACCGACGACTACTACCGACGACTACTACCGACGACTACTACCGACGACTACTACCGACGACTACTACCGACGACTACTACCGACGACTACTACCGACAACTACTACCGACAACTACTACCGACGACTGCTACCGACGACTACTACCGACGACTACTACCGACTACTACTACCGACTACTACTACCGACTACTACTACCGACTACTACTACCGACTACTACTACCGACTACTACTACCGACTAGTACTACCGACTAGTACTACCGACTAGTACTACCGACTAGTACTACCGACTACTACTACGGACTACTACTACGGACTACTACTACGGACTACTACTACGGACTACTACTACGGACTACTACTACGGACTACTACTACGGACTACGACTACGACTACTACTACGACTACGACTACTACTACTACGACTGCTACTACGACTACTACTACGACTGCTACTACGACTACTACTACGACTGCTACTACTACTACTACTACGACTACGACTACGACGACTACTACTACTACTACTTCTTACTACCTACTACGTATACTACTTACTACCTACTACGTACTACCTACTACGTATTACCTACTACGTATTACCTACTACGTACTACCTACTACGTAGTACCTAATGTTCACATGGCGTTAATAAACCCCCCGGCAATAAAGTACGCCAACTCCCGGTTCACAATAATAAAACCCCCCCGTAATAAAGTACGCCAACTTTTTTTCCCCTGTTTTTTTCCATTTTTTCCCTTCAGTATTCGTTTTCAATTAGGCAATTCATTTGGGAATACTAATAGGTGTTTTTTTTTTGGAGGGAACGTTCCCTTATGTATGCGTTTTCAATGAGGATTCATTTGGGAATACATAGGTTATGTTTTTTTGGAGGGAAAGTTACCTTATGTATTCGTTTTCAATTAGGCAGTTCATTTGGGAATACATAGGTGATTTTATTTTTTGGAGGGAAAGTTACCTTATGTATTCGTTTTCAATTAGGCAATTCATTTGGGAATACATAGGTGTTTTTTTGGAAAAGTTCTGGAGTGCAAAAAAATCAACAAGGCTCAAATGGTCGATTTCCTTACTAAACCCTTTCAAAAAATGCCAAAAAACAATTGCGCAAAGGGGGTAGCCTTGAAGTCCCCTGACATCAAAATAATAATGTATGTTTGCACACCCCTAAATAAAGTATTTGGATTTCAGGGTTCTAAAATTTTGGTGGTTAATTAAATTTGTTTCTCAATTCCTTTCCTAGTTGAACCCTTTCTCAAACCCTTTCTGAAGCCCTCAAGACTCTTTGAGCTGGAAGCAGTAAACTCCAAACTCCAAATCTTGCCTGAAAAGTTCTGGAGTGCAAAAAAATCAACAAGGCTCAAATGGTCGATTTCCTTACTAAACCCTTTCCTTACTAAACCCTTTCAAGAAAGTTCACTTTATGTATGCGTTTTCAATTAGGCAATTCATTTGTGAATACTAAAGTTCCAAGAAAGTTGACTTTATGCATTCGTTTTCAATTAGGCAATTCATTTGTGAATACTAAAGTTCCAAGAAAGTTCACTTTATGTATTCGTTTTCAATTAGGCAATTCATTTGTGAATACTAAAGTTCCAAGAAAGTTCACTTTATGTATTCGTTTTCAATTACGCAAGTCATTTGTGAATACTAAAGTTCCAAGAAATTTCACTTTTTGTATTCGTTTTCAATTAGGCAATTCATTTGTGAATACTAAAGTTCCAAGAAAGTTCACTTTATGTATTCGTTTTCAATTAGGCAATTCATTTGTGAATACTAAAGTTCCAAGAAAGTTCACTTTATGTATTCGTTTTCAATTAGGCAATTTGTTCGGCGCCACATAGGTCTGAAAATTTTCCAGGAACCCTAGGTGAATGTTTGGCCTAAATTTTATTTTGATGCTCTTAATGTTTGGGGGGGGGAGGGGGGGGTTTATTAATACGATGTTGACATTACTACGTACTACCTACTACGTACTACCTACTACGTACTACCTACTACGTACTACCTACTACGTACTACCTACATACTACGTACTACCTATATACTACGTACTACCTATATACTACGTACTACCTATATACTACGTACTACCTATATACTACGTACTACCTATATACTACGTACTACCTACTACGTACTACCTACCACGTACTACCTACTACGTACTACCTACCACGTACTACCTACTACGTACTACGTACTACCTACTACGTACTACCTACTACGTACTACCTACTACCTACTACCTACTACCTACTACCTACTACTACCTACTACCACCTACTACTACCTACTACTACCTACTACTACCTACTACCTACTACCACCTACTACCACCTACTACTACCTACTACTACCTACTACTACCTACTACTACCTACTACTACCTACTACTACCTACTACTACCTACTACTACCTACTACTACCTACTACTACCTACTACTACCTACTACTACCTACTACTACCTACTACTACCTACTACTAGCTACTACTAGCTACTACTACCTACTACTACCTACTACTACCTACTACTACCTACTACTACCTACTACTACCTACTACTACCTACTACTACCTGTACTACTACCTACTACCTACTACCTACTACCTACTACCTACTACCTACCACCACCTACTACTACCTACTACTACCTACTACTACCTACTACTACCTACTACTACCTACTACTACTACCAACTACTACCTACTACTACCTACTACTACCTACTACTAACTACTACTAACTACTACCTACTACTACCTACTACCTACTACTACCTACTACTACCTACTACTACCTACTACTACCTACTACTACCTACTACGACCTACTACGACCTACTACCACCTACTACCACCTACTACTACCTACTACTACCTACTACTACCTACTACTACCTACTACTACCTACTACTACCTACTACTACCTACTACTACCTACTACTACCTACTACTACCTACTACTACCTACTACTACCTACTACTACCTACTGCTACCTACTGCTACCTACTGCTACCTACTGCTACCTACTGCTACCTACTGCTACCTACTACTACCTACTACTACCTACTACTACCACCTACTACTACCTACTACTACCTACTACTACCTACTACGACCTACTACGACCTACTACGACCTACTACGACCTACTACGACCTACTACGACCTACTACGACCTACTACCACCTACTACCACCTACTACCACCTACTACCACCTACTACCACCTACTACCACCTACTACCACCCACTTACCTACGTACCTACCCTACCTACCCTACCTACCCTACCTACCCTACCTACCCTACCTACCCTACCTACCTACCCTACCTACCTACCTACCCACCTACCTACCTACCTACCTACCTACTACCACTACCACCGCTACCTACTAATACTACTACTACTACTACTACTACTACTACTACTAGTACTACTACTACTACTACTACTAGTACTACTAGTACTACTAGTACTACTAGTACTACTAGTACTACTAGTACTACTAGTACTACTAGTACTACTAGTACTAATAGTACTACTAGTACTACTAGTACTACTAGTACTACTAGTACTACTAGTACTACTAGTACTACTAGTACTACTAGTACTACTAGTACTACTAGTACTAGTAGTACTACTAGTACTACTAGTACTACTAGTACTAGTACAAAGACACTATGCCATATTACGCTGCACTATTTTCACTACGCTAGGCTAGTTACAGTACACTACACCTCAACTACAACTACAGCTACAGCTACAAATACAATTACAATTGCGTTACGCCACACTACACTAATTTCACTACACTACAGCTATAGTTGCACCTACAACAACGTTACAGCTACATTACACTACACTAATTAAACTACAGTACGCTACAACTACAACTGCGACTGCAACTACAATACCCTACACTACACTACATTACACAACACAACACTACACTAATTCCACTACTACACTACACAAATTACAATTGCACTACATTGCACAATGCTACACTACACTAATTACACTACGCTACACTACGACTACAACTACAGCTGCAACTACAACTGCACTAAATTACACAACACTACAGCTACAGCTCCACGACGCTACAAGTACAACTACAACTGCGCTACACCATACTACATCCAGCAATTGTGGGTGAGGTGACCACTGCAACCACTGCAAACACTCAAAAAAAGCACAACTCCGACCACCTTTCGATTCATCAGTGGACTCGCTCTGCCATCCATGCGTCACAACAACTCACCTTTCCTATAGTGTCCTATCTTTGGAACTTCCGCCGCCTACTGGTATATAGAAATCATTATAATCATGAATCATCAAGTTTAGGCCCAGTCATTCTCATCCAATGAGTTTATTTGACGACGCCAAGCGCTCCAGGAGAGTTGCTCAGACCTCTCGAGCCTTGGATTCCGACACGGCCAGAGGCTATCCGGGCTTGAGGGCCAAGCAATGATATGAGGTGGAAAGCATAGGAAAACAAAAAAGCAACAAAAGGATTTTCTATAGTCTTGTATATATGTATATCTATATTTGTGGTTTCATTTCATGCGCAAAAGGTTTTTTTACTTTCTGACACTTCCTGGCAGCACTTGTGGAGGTGTAAGAACTAAACACATGTCAAAAAAGTGAACATGAATACGCACAGAGTATAAAAATGTGTGAAAAGCAGTGGAGCAACGCGAGTTTGCAACTAAAAGAATGTTTTCTTCGCTTTTGCTTTAAACTTTTCATGTATACAACGGTATGGCAGACATTCACCGATCTGGTTTGCCCCTGCAACATGTCAGTTTCATGTACAATGCATTTACTTCTGAAAGCTTCAAAGCCCCAAGAGAAAAGCTTACGTTCAGCCGCAGCGTTGTGGGTTTACATGGTAGCGGAGCCCTACGACCCCAGTGGCCTCTGGTCACGGCAAGGGACAATCCCAAGGTTCCGACCAACAAGGACCGCAAGGGCAACAGCAACTTGCGATGCAGAGATGGCTCAGGCAGCCGAAGCTCAGGTGAATGCAATGCTAGAGTTGGCAAGGGCGTTCAAGGAGAAGTTGGGTGAGAAGAAAGGCTGCTTTGGAGATGCTGGCAAGGTGATCAGACCACCAGAGGTCATTGCTCCAAATTCCCAGGAAGAGGAGATTAGGCAGAGGAGTTTCCGGTCTTGGCTCTTCTTTGCCCAGGAAGAGTTCAACAAAGGACTCAGACAAGGCGGAGAAGACGGACAAACTCTGGGCCTCACCGACCTGTCCCTGCAAGCATGAAAGGTCTGAGAAGCTGTACAGCATCCTGACTGGAGTGCTGAGGAATCGACCGTTGAAAATATTCCGGTCAGTAGAAGATGGCAACAGTATCGATGCTTCTCTCGCAGCAGATGGCGCCGAGGACAGGAAGCAGGTCGATCTCTTTGCTGCAAGCCTGCTTGAGCCACCCGGTTTTTGGTCAGGACCGTTCGATCCTGGAGCAGTGCTGACTGAGGAGTACAAGACAGTGTCAGGGAGCCAACTGTCTGATGACACACAGTTGTCGACCCGTCTGCAGCTTTGAATAAAGGAAGATGCAGATTACAACAAGTAACAAGATCCGGGAGAAGGTGGTCAGCTATGAGAGGACTATTTCATCCAGGTCTTCGCAGGCTGTTTTGACATCAAGAAGGACGAGCGCAACGATGGGTAATCCCCCATGGAGGTTGACAAAGTGAAGGGGAAGTCCAAGGGAAAACAGAAAGGGAAGTCCAAGACAAATGGAAAAGATAGCAGAGGAAAAGGCAAGTGGAAGGATGGCAAAACGAAATCCATTAAGGGCAAGGGCAAGGACTGTGCATATGGAAAAGTTGGTGCTGGACGTGGAAAATGAAAAGGCAGCTTACCACAAGACGTTTGCAAGCTTTGTGGTCAGAAGGGACACTGGGGACGTGTGTGCCCAGTGAGACGACAGGTGGCAGAGGGCTCTCCGTCGACAGTTGCAACACAGGCAATAGTGAGCGGATGTGAGCGGCAGTGGATCAGCCCAATCTACGCCAGCCCCTGTGACATCACCTTCGACGGTGGTGAGGCGCATCATCTACTTCAACATGGACGATGAGGAAATGAGGACATCGAGGAGCTCTTTGTTTGAATGATCCAGAATGACAAGGTCTGTGACACGGCGTATGGCGACTTTGGTGGCTATGTTGTCCTGGGCGCAATGGAGGTGGTGAGGACGCCTTCTTCGAGAGCTACCAGGATCTTGGCGGTGGATGCCAAGGTCAAGGATGGTGGAAAAGGCGGTTCGAGGCCTACTGGAATGAAAGCTTTCATCCAAGGAGTGAGGAGCAGTGAAACGAGGCAATGGAGAGATCAGCGTGATCCTGGGCAGTGGAGCCGATTTGTCGGTCTTACCCTTGAGCTTTGGAGATGTTGGGGCACCAAAACAAGTGTACTACGAGATGCGCAAGGTCGAAAGATGCAAGGAGGCAAACTTCGACAAGCTTTGGTGGTGATCCAGGATGACACCCTATGTGCCTCAGAGAGACCTTCGCCCTCTCAAATGTGTCGGATCCTCTTCTTGCACGGAGCTTGGAAAGTTGGTAAAGCTTGGATAGCGCCTTGAAGGCGGAGACCAAGTGAAGCTGCATTACAAGGAGGAGTTTGCAAAATCGTTGGATTTCCGGCAAACTCCCTGATCATGATGGCGGAGATCAGAAGGGTTGGAGAAGATCAAGTGCCTGCTGGAGACCTTCGGGTCTGACAAGAGGCAGAGACGTTTCAACATGAAGAGTGCTGCGGTGAGTTGACGACAGTGATGACCTTCTTCCACCAGAAGATGGAGGACATCAACAATGTGGGCACCATCACCACTGGCTTTGATGACCCGTTCTTGCGACGAGAAGGCGCGCAAGGATGAGGTTCAAGATGGAAAAGCAAATTTTTGGCTGGCATGGACGCAGCCTCGAGGATATGGCGTCTACGAGGTGGAAGATGATGCAAGTGAAGATCACATGGGAGCCCAACAGAAGCGCAGGACACCCGGAGACATGGAGCTGGGAGAGAGCCTGCTTGAAACCAAGGAGGAGATCGAACCTTTCCGAAGATGGTGAACTTTGTCCTGATGATCGCCATTTTGATCCTGGTGAAGATTGCCTACAACATGCACAGGAGGATTGAGCTGACACGCCATACCATAGATTGCATCAGCTCGGAGCTACGAAGAAGGATTGAACGACAACAGGCAATTCGAGCAGAAGAACAAGCCCGGACAGGAGTTTACCACCTTGAGACAGATGATAATGAATCAGAGGAAAAGAACAAGGAAATTCAGACCGAGAGGAAGATAATGGATCAGCATGGGTCCGTATGGTGAGACGGGATCATGATGAGAATGGAGAGACTGAGATGGGAGAGGTCGAGGTCGAACCAGAGCCGGTTGGAGAGTTGGAGATGGTGGCGACTTCGATTGACTATGACATGGAGAATGATGAGACAGTCCTTGCAGGGGATGAAGATCCTATGGAAGAAGAGGAGGAAGAAAGTGAATTCGAAACAGACTGGAAGAACGTGACTCAGACTATGAAGGCTTTGATGAGGGGGCCCATGGCGTACCGTTGTCGACTTCTTGGTGAAAGTTTGCGCGTCGAACGCTGCATCTTGAAGAAGTTGGCCAACCTACGCAAGGTGGCCATGTGTGACAGTGAGCAAGTCTGGTATGAAATACCTGATGAACGCGCACAAGGCGATCCAACTTGGAAGTTCAGCTTCGAGCAGAGAGGTGATAGAGTACGTGATGAACCGCCGTAGATGGACGAAATATTCACACCCCTTCTATCCGGTACAGCACTTCGCCGCCAAAGTTCAATGTTAATGTAGCCTGAAGTGTGTTATCTCCAATGGAAGAAAACACTCAAACCCCTAACATGACTTTTGGTAACACGCGCGCTGAAACATTGAGACTTGGGGGTGCGGGGGTTCAGCATAGCGCGTGTTGCAGGGTTTGAATATTTTGTCCATCTACTGAACCGCTGCAGGTACGACTGCGATTTCTCGAGCTGGACGAGTTCACCCTGATGAGAGGCTTGAGGAGTGTGACATGCCCGACGCCTGGGTTGCTGCACGCTGTGGCTGGAATCAGCTCCGGGTCCAGCCAGGACCAAGAGAGGACGAGGAGGTTTCATGGCTTGGAGAAGATGATAGAGCTGCAGCCGAAGACGCCGAGGAGGAGACACCGGAGCGTAGAAGGGCAACAGAGCTGGCTGCGGCATTTGACAGTGACGAAGATGATGGCCTGGGATCTTCAACAGACCGAAGGAGAGAAAGCGCACCGAAGGCAAAGTCAGGTGGAAAGGGCCACTCAGACAAAGAAAGACCCTACTCGCAAAGGCGAGGCAGATGGACATGTCTGAGGTGTTTTCTTAGGACTAAGAAAGTCTTAGCGAGAAAGGCAGGGTGACGGACATTCACCGATCTGATTTGCCCCTGCAACATGTCAATATCATGTACAGTTCATTTACTCCTGAAGGCTTAATAGATTTAATAGCCCAAGAGAAAAGGCCACGTTCAGCCATGACGTTATGGGTTCACACGGCATCAGGGGAATCCGAGACAGCATCTGAAAACACAGTTAAAAAGTGAAAATGAACAGTGTAAATAAACGTTAAAACAGTGAAAACCTGTGAAAACAGCCACGTTTTTTTGTTTTTCTTCTTCCACCTTTTCAATAATTCACTTATAAATCTGTGTCAAGGGAATCTGAGACATCTAAAGTAACATATAACCCTGTTCCATATCCACAAGTAAAATACAATAATGGTTTGGACTTGTTAATTCTGCTTTGGCACTCACAACGGTTGAGGGTTTAAATGCACACAGAGGAATGAAGTGGGAAAAATGTGGTTCTATCCTCCAGGCCCCACGGAGTTCTGTAGAGCTGCTTCGCTCAGGAACACCAACTGATATTGATTGATGCAGCTTGAGAAAAGGCGGCCAATCTCACAGAAGGTGAGATGCGATTGGCTTGGTTGCCTGTTTCTCAAAGAAATCAGAATACTTGCATAAATTGTTTCTCTTGCCTGGTGATGGAATGGTCTGCCGCTGCGTGTGAGATCTTACACGCAAAGCACATGATCAGTTTATGTCAATTGTTGCTTTTGTTGATTACCTTGTGAAATCCGCTCTTGTTTTGCAGCCTCCAATGCGCCACCGGGCAACGATCTGCTGTGTTCCCCCATATCCAGTGGAGAAAAATCGGTATTGCAAACGATTTTTTCTTCAAGCTGTCGAGGCAAGTGCAGTCACACTGATAAATCGTGCTGAGGGGAAACCTCGGAAGGATGTGGCTATGAAGATGGCCACCCATCTGTGACCAAACCCCACACACACAGAGACACACAGATATAGGGTACAGGCCTGCAACCCCCACCCCCCCCGTCATGGTCACGGTTCCCCGCTCCCCCTGTGGGAAGGGGGTGGTTCTCTTTCCTCCAGCCTGTGGGAGTGGGGGGGGTCTCTAATTTGTATGCATGCATGCAATGTATGTAATGCATGCAATGTATGTAATGTATGTAATGTATGTAATGTATGTAATGTATGTAATGTATGTAATGTATGTCATGTATGTCATGTATGTCATGTATGTCATGTATGTAATGTATGTAATGTATGTATTGTAATGTATGTAATGTAATGTATGTAATGTATGTAATGTAATGTATGTAATGTAATGTATGTAATGTATGTATGTATGTAAATGTATGTATGTAATGTAATGTATGTAATTATGTAATGTCGGTAATGTATGTTAATTTTATGTATTTATGTAATGTACCAAAAACAAAAAAAAATTAAATGTTATGTAATTTCATTCATTTAACTTTATGTATTTATTTAACTATGTCCCTTTATTTCTATCTTTTTGTATATGTAATGTATGTAATGTAAGTAATGTATGTAATGTATGTAATGTATGTAATGTATGTAATGTTGTATGTATGTATGTATGTATGTATGTATGTATGTATGTATGTATGTATGTATGTATGTATGTATGTATGTATGTATGTATGTATGTATGTATGTATGATGTATGTATGTATGTATGTATGTATGTATGTATGTATGTATGTATGTATGTATGTATGTATGTATGTATGTATGTAATGTATGTAATGTATGTAATTATGTAATGTATGTAATGTATGTAATGTATGTAATGTATGTAATGTATGTAATGTATGTAATGTATGTAATGTATGTAATGTATGTAATGTATGTAATGAATGTAATGTATGTAATGAATGTAATGTATGTAATG